TTTATTTTCTAACGATCCGTGCGATGGCCCCAGGTGGTAATAAAGATTTGTACTGCGAGATCCGCGGCGAATGCCCAGCGACAGGCCGCATTTCGAATTAAAAAGGATTCACCTTGGCCGCCGCAGCCTGTAACAGTGAGCCACTTGCCATTCGCCGTTTATTGTCCTCCGTTTTCTTCGGCGCCGTAACTCGACTGTGCGGCCGGTGGGCCGTGAAATAAGTTTATAACGATGCCTCTCGAGTGAGAGGAGACGAAAAATGGAGCTGTTGAATCTGAAAAGAAGCGCTCCAATATCCCGGTCGCGACGTGTTGCTAGGTGATTCCACGGGGGATGGAAGGTTTCGGCGCATTCTTCCGCCCTCGAGGCGCTTCTAAGTGATAAAATAGCCGACGGAGAGCTGTTGCACCTACCGCCGTTATACATCTCCCAAGATTCGCGCGGGATATTATGAAAATGACCGGGCAGAGACGATTTCTCAAGCGAATCCCAATGTGTTCCGGCGAGAACACGTCCGCGGAATTTACGATCGCGGGATTCGGGTCATTCCGCGCGCGTTCCCTCCTCGCATTTCTGATTCGCGACGAGATATTCGGGGATGACTCACCTAGAGGTCGACTCGTAATAGTGACGCAATAAAACAGCATACTTCCCGGCGTCAAAACAAGTCGTGAAGTCGTACGGATCGCGATAAACGAGAACCGAGTTGAATTCACCGATTTCACTCGCGCGCACGTTCGCCGGCGAACCAGTCGAGTTCCGCTTATGTAAATCAGAAATGGCAATTACAACGGTCCCGTTGCATCGACCGACGAATTTCCCTGGCGACCGCATCAGGCTCGAATATTAACTCGCATTCTGGACGATCCCGATCGAATAATCGATCGAGCTAATGATTGTTACGAGAAAACTGCTAACAGACTAATGCTGAAACTGCCGAACTAGTCGAAACGAACGTTCCCGGTTCCTTCCGTTCCAAATATTGAAATGATAAATCATCGAAGAAATTGTTTTTCTAATAGGCAAACTGAATTATAAGTCGGTCGAAGTCTCGGTAGATGCGCTTTTAGCGTTTCTATACGGAAATTGCACAAAGGCGATTGCTCGGTAGTTTTGCTGATAATCCTTCGAAGTATCGGCATTACTTGGGTTTCTTCTCGATTTTCGAATCTCATCGAGCAACGTTCGGTATCGTCGGTGAAAAACTTTCGAATGCAAAGGGTTAAAGGAACGTGTAACGGTTGTTCGAGGCCGTCAGCCTGGCTGGTCGTGTAACAATGTGGGCGGTGTCGTTGGCCGGTTAACTTGTCGCGTGAACGGGGTTGCGTGCAGCCCCGGGACTTTCATAATTCATACTTTTCGCGTTTCATTTAAGTCTGGCAGCTTTATTATACCATCAAATTCTTATTCGCCGGGGTTGGTTGTTCACCGGCGGAAACCATCGTGTCGTTTCTACGGTCCCTGATCGTCAAGTTGGGGCCAACTATTTTCGCGGTAATCGCAGCGTTGCTAGTCTTCGAAATTTATTAACACATTCCGTATTTTCAACGAGAAATCTCGTTTTTCTATTATAACACTTAGCTATGCAATTTTGCTAATTACTATAGTACTTAGATAAATATGAGATTCGATTCAAATTGATTATCTATTTAAAATACATAACAATACGATATCTGAGGTTTTCTATGTGTAGCGATATAAGTTGATCTCACTGAAAATTTCCATCCGAACAATTCAGTTTTCTGAAAATTGGACGATACGCGATGCGTTAACGATCTTTTCCTTCTACCGTTAAGATCGTGGATTAAGCGACGAATAGAATGTAAATAATACAAGTGATATAAATAGTATAAATAATACAAGGAAATCGTAAGACACGGACATCAGAGAAGCGAAAGCTGACGTTGACGTTGGCTCCAACTCGTTGATCGGGCACTGTGATTTTCGAATCTTGATGGAATTTCAGAAAAAGCGAGATTTTGGAAGATTCGATAGGTGTGTACATAGTTTAGGACGATTGAAATATTCGAACCAACAGGTGAACCGTTTGCGGTCCGAAGTGCTCTTGGTTTCTCACTTTGAGGTTCACGTCGTTAGTTAATTCGATTACAGCTTAATATGACGCTCTATTTATTTATTCAAGAATATTCAGGAGTCATTGAAATGTTACCTTTAAATGGTACAATTGCGATGCTACAAATAAATATAGGAAAAATTGTTGAAACAGGTGGAAGTTGCAATAAAATAGAATGTCGAATCTGACTCGAGGACTGCTAAGGGTGAACTAGTGGCCAAGCGATCCGTTGCTCGATGAACCCTGGCTTCGAACTCATTACACTCTTGCTGTTTTCCTTTTCTCCCGCCGTTTCACAGTTAATTGAGTTTTCTAAGTACGGTAATATTTATAAATAGCGGTGGAGGGGGTTCAAGACGATTTTCCGCGGCACGTGCATGCTGGCGCATCCGCGATGACGTGGTTGCGGTGCGCGTTCGACGTCACCGTGACGATGCTCGTAAACAAAGTAAAAAACAAGATAACGCGAGCTAACGAGCCGCTAAAAATATTCGTGATTAACTGACTCGATCATCGAACGAATCGGTTGACCCCAGCGAAACGGACAAATCGAACGAAACAATGTATCCTCGGAATAATTTTCATTATCGCTACAATGTTCGCGCAGCCATAAGTATCTGCTATTTTCTATAAACCACAATAATACAGTATTATTTATACGATATCATACAACGCTGCAATTATAATATTATCGTAATCTCCACTGAAAAACGGTTCAACCTCGACCCCTACGCGTTGGCAACCAGTATGTCCTATCGGAACTTCGTTACACCATACATTTATTTCAACGCTTCGACTGCCATGACACTGTTCCCCATAGAAACTTGGACATTAATTCTCTTGACGACGCATCGAGCAAACCGAATTTCATTAAATACACCGGATACAAGAAACCGGAGTAATTATTAACCAGATAACTGTGTTTGCCGAGTATACACATCATCGTAAAGCTTGACACGATACTATTTCTTTCAGCGATGAATTCTTGATTTTCTCACATAAACATGTAATTCTTCTTTGTTTCGCTTTGATCTGTCATTAAAATGATCCCTTCCGTGCCGGATCATTTTTTTAAGACTTTCCCTTCAGGCCGTATGGGGCGTATACGACCCACATTTTTACAATCAATTAAAATTAAATAACCGCAGTATGCATGATATTGAAATACCTATCTTTGACTGTAGAATAAATTTTTAAGAAGTTTTTCGTTTTTCAATGAGAATTCATTTTCGGTCTGAGCGGAAAATTCAGCGTGGGTCGTATACGCCCCACGCGGCACGGAACGTGTTAAAGAAGAAAACTGTCGCGACTGCATATTTTTTCACGAGTGTTCATAGCAGTGAATGCATTGACTATTAACCTAAAGAGCCGAAAAATCCGAGTATCGTCGAACGATCGGCAAAAACGTTGAAATTCTCCGTAGAAAGGAACGAGACGCGCGGCGGTACGACCGGTTGCCTGACACGAGGGGCATCCGTGGGCACGCCAGTCACGGCTGTCCGCCATGAGCGCGCGTCCCGTGGGGTGGCATCTTGTCACGCGCGTCGAGGGGGACCCTCGGCTGCGTCCGTTTAGCTGGTACGTCAACGGAGTTTCGATTGTTTATCCGTCAACGAAGAAAGCCCCGAGCCACGCGGCCACGAGGAGGATAGTGTTTAGGTAATAGTCACTTGGCAACGGGTGATCGATCAGCGAGATTGGTTATGGTCTCGTCGCTGGCCGATCGATCGTTTTGTGACGGCGCGATACCGAAATGTCATAATAGAGGCTAAACTCTGTGGTGACGGGATCGGTCTCGGTCGTGTGTATAGCCACCGGTGTTACGTCACCGCGTGTACTTGGCCTCCCGCGGCTCGAACGAATCGTTAGATGGAAAAAGGGAATAATCGTTCCGTCGATTCCGCCACCTCCAGCCGGACACCTCGACCGAGTGCCCGCCATTTTGTGGCGCGTCCTGCGTGACGTCCGATCAGAAATTCATATTCGGCCGAATTACCGAGGAATATTGATTCTCGCCAAGTACCGAGGCGGCACCGATCAATTTCAACGGATAGATCGGTAGATTTTTCAGGACCGGACCGAGCTTGGAACCCGTTCCCCCAGGTACCTTCTAAACTGACACTTGCCTTTTGAAATTCGACCGTTTCCTAGGTCCCGTTTAAAGCGTATCATCGATAATGAATCTTTTCAACGGTTCCTAGTCAAATGTTTCTACGCAGTGATTATTGAAATTGAAAATTGTAGTCGTATCGCGTCATCTACCAGTAGCGATCGATTTCAACGGATAGATCGGTAGATTTGTCAGAAGCGGACCGAGCTTGGAACCCCTTCCCCCAGGTACCTTCTAAACTGACACGCCTTTTGAAATTCGACCGTTTCCTAGGTCCTGTTTAAAGCGTATCATCGACAATGAATCTTTTTAACGGTTCCTAGTCGAATGTTTCTACGCAGTGATTATTGAAATTGAAAATTGTAGTATCGCGTCATCTACCGGTAGCGATCGATTTCAACGGATGAATAGATCGGTAGAGTTTCAAGAACCCGTTCCCCGAGACACTTTCCAAAGTAAGAAGTACATTTACCTTTAGAAATTCGAGTTTCCTCTTGTTTTGTTCGAAGATTGTTGAAATTGAAAATTGTACGCGTCATCTACCGGTAGCGATCGATGTCAACGGACGAATAGATCGGTAGAGTTTCGAGAACCCGTTTCCAGAGACATCTTCCAAAGTAACAAGTATATTTACCTTTAGAAATTGAAGTTTCGCTTTGTTTCGTTGGAGGATCGTTGAAATTGAAAATTGTAGTCCAAGGTATTGCGTCATCGAGTGGAGGTTAGAATCGACGGTTAGCCGAGAGGTTACGATCGATGGACTCGATCGATGGCCATCGGGAGGACGGGATTGTTTTCCTTAACCTAGAAGATTACGTGGTTCGAGAGGGTGAGCATGATGGTGATTCTTTTGAATTGCATCACGCTGGGGATGTACCAGCCGTGCGTCGACGACCAGTGCGTGACGAACCGCTGCAAGATATTGCAAGTAAGTATGATACGTGTCCGCGGCCCATCAGGGGCGCGCGTGACTCCGTTTTCCCGCGCGATTCACTTTCGCCGCCGTAAACGCTGCAATTACGATCTCCGATTAAAAAAAGCTGCTCGCCAGGTAGAACGTTCCCCAGGCGTCCTTTCGCAATCTCTCTCTCTTTTTCTCTCTCCACTGATTTCCCGACTTTCGCCGATTTATCTTAAGAAACGTGTCATCGATGCTCCACTGGAACGTTTGCAGGACAGGAAAGAGGTTAGAGGTTAACCGTCCCGCTTTGAAAATTATTGGTTATGTGTTGTACAGACTGCCTACTAATTTCTCTCTCAATTCAGATATCGAAGCTTTCAAATTACAAAAAAATAATGATCGCTCGAAAGATATTTCACTTCGAATGCTAGTTTTCCGTAAGGCTACTAGATAATAAGAATAGAAGAATTCTCGTATCGAAGAATTAAGGATCCTTTGCATCCTTGCTAGAAAGGATGGCAGTGAACGTTAGTATTCGTTTAACACTAGAACTACCAAGCACTCGAACCGTCTTTTAAACGTTTCTTTGTGAAAGCTATAAACGTGAATTTATTAAGAATTTATTAAGTACCACATGTGGTACACGTGGCACTGAACGTGTTAAACAACTGTCTGTACCTCTGCAGTAATTCTAAAAGAAATTAGTAATCGGCCATTTTCACCCATCTGGTAGTTCTATTGTCAATATTTATATGTCTTGATATAATATTAAAATTAGTAATCGATCATTTTCACCCATCTGGTAGTTCTATTGTCAATATTATAATACATTATTCAAGTGTATACTACATAAGCTTCCATGTGAAAACAGGCGTCCGGAGTGACGGGAAATTGTTCCAATTGGAAACCGCCCAGCACCGTTGGAGATCGTCGAATCGGTTAGAAGCGGAAGTGGAGGCGGTCTCCGGGGGCGAATTAGATTGAAAAAGATCGCGGGTAACGGGCACAGCAGTGGGGGGATTGATTAATTGCGGTGTTTACCTTGCCACGCGCGGCTCGCACGAGGCGGCTCAGAATGGTCTCGCGTAGCGCAGAAAACGGAGGCAAACACGAGAAACCAACATCTGGCGGTCGATGAGTAATGGGACTCGTGTCGAGTGTCCTTGATCAGCCGGGGCTCGATTGAATTAAGCGTCCTTCCGTCTAATCGGCCCTGCCGCCTGTCCGCCTAACGTTCACGCGGCCGATCCTGCCGGTTTGCTTGCAGATGTTCGACGACATCATTTTCGCCTTCTTCGCTCTGGAGATGACGATCAAGATGGTCGCGATGGGGATCTATGGGAAGGGGACCTACCTGGCGGACTCCTGGAACAGGCTGGACTTTTTTATCGTGGCTGCTGGGTAGGTGTCTCGCTCTTGACTGGGGACGTTCTCGTATAACAGCCTCGAGCGATTTTTATCAATTGCTTTTAGGTTGATTCATTAGTAGTTTGGATTGAGACGTTAACACTTAACGGACGGTCGAATCTACCCTGTCTTCCCCAGTTTCCGGGTATATTTACTAACGCAGCCTACTAAAGGTTCAAGCAAAAACGTAAATTTACGTGGCCCGTCCGTCAAGTGTTAATAGTTTGATATTATTGATTAACGAGAAAAAAATTGGACCTTTTCAACAGCCTCGAGCGATTTTCATCAATTGTTTTTAGGTTAATTTATAAGTAATTTCGTCTCGGATATTAACCCTTAGCATTCCAGGTTGTTTTGTAATCTATCAGCAACTGCAACGAATTTTTATGGTATTCCTAGCGAAAATGAGAAATGCTATAACATTCCTTCGATCTTTTGTTTTCCTTCATAGTAGAAAATTTGGATGTGTGGGAAATCGAATGATTTTCAGGTAGTTTCTTTAAGATTCATTGAAACATTTTAAATTATAACTGGTGCAATATTGGAGCCTACAGAGTTCAAAGGGTTAATAGCTTGATATTATCGATCGACGAGAAGAAAATTGGACTTTTTCAATGCAGTAGACAAGAATCTCCGTTGATCCGCCCGAGAAGCGACGCCCTTCGCTATCGGAGGGACAGAGATGATTTCAGTTTCCGTTTAGTCGCAGTTCGTATTGTTTAAACGAGAAAAGGAAGCATCCACCGTTGGACCACAGCGTCCTCGAAGAGGTTTACCGTTTCCTTTCTCCGCCGTGGATCCTTCTTTCTCCGGGGATTGATAATTCCGTGATAAATAATCGGCTCGAAATGAACCGCAGCTCGTTTAATAAGCGGCCGAAGTTTATTCCAAGTTCCAGTTTCATATTTCATTCGATGAAAGCGGGCTTTAACACTTCCACGGCCCTGTATTCCTTCATTTCCCTGAAAATCAGGGCTATTTGAAAAGGAGCGGGTCTATAGCTGGATGCTGCCGGGCTTCTGTCGTCGCGAGGCAGCGCGAATTAAAGAATCTTGTTTCGAAATGCCTTGAATTGAAGGGATGCGTCGCGGAAAGGAAATAATACCTCTGAACGGAGGACCTTATGGATCGTTACGGAGGAGTGCGTTTACGGATCCGTAACGTTCCCCGGCGTCCTCTCTCGCGTCTTTCATTTTCTCTGTCTCGCACTGCTCGTTCTCTTGAACCTTTTGCACTTCGCAATTCGCGAAAACATATTCAAGAATATATTTAACAATATATTTATTACATTGAAATATTCATACTGTCATTATACTCGTTACAACTTATTTAATAACAAGGTTGCACAGTTTGTTCCGGCAAGTTTGAAACGGCTCCGCCCCCGGAGCCCTCGAGTGCAAAAGGTTTAATCAATTTCCCCGTTCGAACATGTTCTCAGTTGCTTTCTTGTCCCGTTACAGAGCCCTGGAGTACTGCTTGAACGTGGAGAACATGAACCTATCGGCGATACGAACAATAAGGGTCCTGAGACCTCTGCGAGCCATCAATAGAATTCCAAGTGAGTATCGGGTTAAAAACACGCTGCAACGTTCACGGCGGTACCTTTGCGCGTTTCGTCTATTTCCTGCATTCTTGAAGATTCCAAGTAGAATTCAACAGGTATAAATATAATTTTTTCCAATTGGAATTAAATCGATTCTCCTATTATCGATCGTAACGCTTCGGAACAAACGTAGACGTGGAACAAGACATTCCGTCTTCTTCTAATGGATAACGAAGGGGTTTCTAATCTAATTGGATCACGCGACAAGCGAGAAGGGGTCGAAGGATATATATCCGTGACCTATCGTTAACGGACGAACTCGAAGCGACTCGTTTCCGACTGGTTCCGATGAACAAATGGCGAAGAGCCTCCGCGCAACGCACTAATCCCACTGTCTATATACCGGCGCGCATACTTTCATCCGAGCGGCTCTTCCGGTTACGTCGTCGCGGTGACATTATCCTTCCCCCTTCGCGACGTAAATAGAAGAACCCTTTATTTATCTGGCTCCCGGTGGGAACAACGGCATTGCGGCAGGCTGCGTGAACGCCGAGATTCTTCTCGGATCAGGGGCTCTCGGTCGACAGTGACAGATTTTCGGTGCATAGAAGAGGAAAACTTTTCTCGTCGCTGTTCGCTGTTTGCCTCGCTATATAACGTGTTTTTCAAAACGGTTATATTCAATACGGTTGCGCAACGGGGATAAGAAACGGACAGATAGACGTTTATCAGGTCGAGCCGGAAATAACCCGTCGCGGACAATGAAAAATTTCCAGCGTGCAATTTCTCTGTTTATTCCTGCCGATAATTAAAAGGCGACTCGCCTATCGAAACGATTCTGTCGAGGTTCTTTGAAGCTGTCGTTTGAAATTCCTCAACTGAATATATCTATAACGTGGCTCTCTATGTGTCAAGTTCCTTTGGCAGAACGATGGTAATGCGATGCTACGTCGTTTCAAGATCTGTAACTGTTGGCAGTAGAGTTCTATGGTGTATCTGTCGCATTTCTATGGATTCGCAGACTTTAAGGTGTTCAGTTGTGTAGCTGGGACATTGTATGCAAATGTTATAGTTTTTCTAGGTTTCTTCTAGTTTCACGGATTCGGTGAACAGCACGTTAAGAGTCGCGCACAGCCTACCCTCGACTATCGATTCAGCGTTACTCATTGATCCTCCTTTGTCCAGGTATGAGGATACTGGTGATGCTGCTGCTGGACACGCTGCCGATGCTCGGCAACGTGTTGCTCCTCTGCTTCTTCGTCTTCTTCATATTCGGGATCGTCGGTGTGCAGCTCTGGGAAGGCATCCTGCGTCAGCGTTGCTTCCTGAAGGCGCTGCCCAACGTCAAGTACCCCGAGTGAGTCGACGAGCACGCACGCTTCTGCATCCGCTACTCCGCATTATCCGCCATTTCCCCCGTTTATTACTAACGCGTCGACTGCCGTGATGCTCACCGGCGACAGGAGCTTGCAAAGTACAAAGCTACGTAACCGAGAACGTAACGCTAACGCCGTTCGCCCTCGCGATGAAGGAAAACAAGTGCTCGGAATCCTCGCGGCAGTCGACGCGTGAACCTGTTACCCGTCGCTTCTTCTTTCTTGCTGCCTCTTCCCGACGCGGCGCGTCGAGCCGCGCGCGCGGCGCACTCTATTTCAAGGAGATGGCGCAATCGCGGTCCACGCGACTGGATAAGTATTAACTCAGCCGTTGAACGCGGCCGGCAGGAGATCGAACGGATAGAGAACGCTTTGTCCGGGCCAGCGTTCCGTGAACCCCGGTTCTCCGCGCTCGAACGCGAGTTCTCGCCGGGCCGGAACCGCTTCGAGGAACGGCCGACATTCCCCGAACGCGATATCCGGTGTCGTTTCGATGAACGCCGGCGTTATCCCGTTTCACTCGACGCGTGAAATCGCGCGCCCGATTTTCATCTTTAGACTCCGGCTCGGACCCGGAACTTTCGAAGATCTCGCCCTTTGAAATTCCTGGCGAAGCCCGGTTATTTGCCACGCGGAGCTGATTCGCTTCACCCTAGAACTACCGAACAGTCGAACCGACTTTCCGAAATCGTTTCCAAACGCCGGTAATGGCAAAGTAGCAACACCGAGACACACCAGTCGCTTCGAAGGACACGGTAGTTCCAGTGTCAAAGCCGCGCGAGCTTTCGTTCTCCAACGGCTCGCTTGTAAACTGTTGCCTTCGCAGTTCTACGCTTGCCAATTTATTTTTACTTTGTTTATTTACGTTAATAGGTTGATACACTTATTCCTTGGTTCTCGGACCAATTTCGATTCGCCGGAAACTCAACGCTAGAGCTACCTTCATTTCCGACTTGTTCTTTCTATTCGAGAAACGTCGAGTTTCATTTATCATTTATTAATTATCGGATAGACAACGTTAAGGGATGATCGTAGAAACGATTAAACGAGTCGACTCGGCGATACTGAATCGCGAATCAACCGAAATCTTGAGCACTCTCGGAGTGTTTCCATAGGGAAATGTGAAAAGTCGATTGAGCTGCTCGGTGGTTCTAGCGTTGAAGCACAATGTTTTCTATGCGCACAGAAAATTCACCGTTTTGCAAATCGAATTCACCCTTTCGTAAATAGAAAGTTATCAAATGTTATTCGCTATTAGCATATTATTTACTTAGGAATTTCCTGGTAATTACTTTGAAAGAAATCTAAAATACACCTCTTTCTAATGAAACGTTCGATTTCTCAGCGACTAATTAACGTCCGACGTTTCGTTGAATAGAACACGCGTGTAGAACCACACGATCCGCGAAACGGTGAATTCCCAGTGCAAAAGCTGAACGCGAAATCGCTCGTTCTTTTCGCGTTCGATTTTCTTTCGCGATTCCTCGGGTTCCCCTCCGTCCGCCGCGGTTTTATTTTTGGCCCCGTGTTATTGCTCGCGTGTACAGCGCGTTCCAGCACCGCGGGCCACGTTTCACGGTTCTTTTTCCCGCGAAACCGCAGCACGCGCGCGTCTATTCCCGTCGGTAGTACGAAACGCTGCGTGTATTTCTGGCGGCGCGCTGTGTTTCGCCGGTAATTAAAAGTTGTTCGCAGCGAAAGCGCCTCGCCGGTTTCCTGATTCTATTTCCAACGGCGGCGTTGCGGTCCCGGCAGGACAAATATTTGTCTTATATGGCTAGATCCTCCATTATCCGAATGATTTACCGGCGAGTCGAGTGGAGCCGGGCCGCGCGATCCGATCACGCTCCTAAATAACGCGATATTTACGCGTCTACCACTAACCGAAGAACATATTCTCTCGACTTGTTTGTATTCGAGTCGCTCGGAAGCCAATTTCGGTTCAGTCCGGAGAACAAACATTCGGGAATTATTCACAATGGCTTCTGAAATGATTATACAACATGTTCGGAAGCTGCAACAACAGCTTTCTCACCTAGGGAAAACTCGAACAAACTGTATTATATTTTTTATTCTATCGAAACGATATAAGTCGAACAGCATTTTTCACCCGTTTATCTTGCTACACCCTTTACAAACATCGGGAAACATTGTAAAATCGACTTAACCGCAACTGGCTTCCGAGCGATTCGAGTAACAAGTCTTTTGGTCATGAAGAACTTTGCGTCGCTTTCCTCATTTTATTTTCCGGAGTTGATCGATTCGTCCAATGAGCTCGTATGTCGGTTCAGAGTTAAGCGTCGGGGACGGGTCCAGGTTATGGTGGTTTCCAGTGGACGAAAGGGGGCGTGGGGGCGTTGATTTCAATTCTCGGCCCGCGGTGACACGTTTATCTCATCGACTTTCTCATCGACTCTCTCTCTCTTTCTCTCTCTCTCTCTCTCTCTCTTTCTCTTTCTCTTTCTCTTTCACTTTCTCTCTCCTCCGTTCTTCCTGTCCGGTGACCAAAACGCTAGAAACTAGTAGACGTAAGTACATGACCCTAGGGGGCAGTGACAGGCTGTTGTTTCGCTGTTGCAGGTTACTCTCGGACGAGTACTCGGTTCGATCACGCATTTAGTAAGCTCTAGTAGAGAACAATGTGCTGTGCATATGTCTACATATATATATATCTCTCTCTATATACATATATATCTAAATCTAAACTGCATAGAGGCCACGTACATAT